ACGCTCCCGGCGGCGGCGTTGCCCTGGCGACGGGGGCGGGGCGGGCGGACGGCGAGCGGGAGGGCCCAGCCGCCGCGAGGCCCGGGCGGCGCCGCGCAGCGCAGCGGGCGCCCGAGACGCCGCCGCGCCGGTGGGTGGTCGCGCCGCGGCCCGCGTGCCCGGCCCCCGTCCGCCCGCCGCTGCCCGCCCGCCCGGCCCGGAGGGAGCGCGGCCTGGACGCCGCCGCCCGCCGGCCCGCAGGTGAGGCCGCCGCACCTGGCGCGGCTCCCGGCCCCGGCGCCCGGGTCCGGCCCCGAGGGAGGCCGAGGGCGACCGCGGCCCCGCTGCCCGGAGCCCGGCCCGGCCCGGCCCGCGGGACGAGCGGCTGCACCCGCCCCGCCGGCAGGGGGACCCCTCGGCGGCCGGGGCGTCGCCGGGCTGGGGGGACCCTCGTGCCGCCTCTGGGCAGCGCCGCGCCCATCGGAGACCCCGTGGCCCGGCCCGACGGGCCAGACCGGTCCGGGCCGCAGCGGGAGGGCCGGCCGCCGCGCTGGGTGCGCCCGAGGGTCAGGCCCCGGCCGGGGCGGGGGGCCGGGGCGGGGGGCCGGGAGGGGGGCCGGGGGCCAGGGGATCGGGGGCGCGGAGGGGGTTCGGGGGCCGGGGATTGGGGGACGAGGGAGGGAGGTCTGGGGGCCGGGGCTCTCCGGTCCGTGAGGTCCGTGTCTGTAGGGCCCAGCCGCCCGGCCAGCACAGGGTGCGGGCGGAGACGCAGGTCCCTCCTGCTGTCCGGACGGTCCGGGAGCCCGGGGCGGCCCCAGGAAAACGCAGACAATCCGAGTGGCCCGGTCCGGGAGGCCGGGGGTTTAAAGGGGAGAAGAGGGTGCAGAGGGGCCGGGGTCGGGGGCCGGGGTCCAGCCCCAGAGGGGCCTCCCCCGGTTCCTGCCTCCGCAGGCGGGTCGGGGAGCAGAGCTTTTCTGGGTCAGGACCGGAGTGACTCATGCTTCGCCGCCAGGTTCCCACCCGGGTGACAGGTGCCCGGGGAGCCACCTCCCTCTGCAGGCAGAGGCTTCAGGGGAGACCGAGCAGGAGGAGCGTGCACCCTGCGGGCCCCGGGCAGGGCCGGTCCCCACAGCGGCCTCCCCCTCCGGGGCCCTGGGGGCTTCCAGGCGGCCTGTCCAGGAGCAGCTCTGAGCTGATGCCCACAGACGGTGTGGCGGCCGCAGGGCCACACCGCCCCCTGAGACACTGAGGTGCAGGAGCTGCTTTTGAGACTCGAGGACAGGGAGGGTGCCTTCTGCCCAGAACGTGTCTGAGATCAGCAGTGGTCCCGCGGTCCATGCCTCAGACCAACAGCTCAGTCATGAATCGGCCTTTTCATCCAGGGAGCAGGGATGCTCATTAGTAACAGCGGAATCAGACATGGCCGACACTGATGCAAACTGGCGGTGAGGACACAGAAAGGGCTACACTCCCCACAGCTCCGTGCCGGTGGCCGGCCGGGCCGGGCAGGGTGAGCCAGCGGGGGTCAGGCCATGGAGAAGCCCCTCGCGTGGGGAGAAGGCTGCTGGGTGGACACGGCGTTGAAAGTCTAGGCACCAGGCGGCTTTGGCAGCTGTGAACGCAGCAGTTGGATTTGGGGGTCAGGGTGCCCAGGGGAGAAATGCCGGGTGGAGGGGGAATGGGGTTCAGGGGGAAAGGCCCTCGGAGGTTAGCGCAGGGACGAGGTTCAGTGTGTCTCCCCTGCACCGGGACGGGGTGGGACTTGGTAAGTGTCCGCCATGGGGAGGAGTGTTCCGCCATGGGTGAGAAGCCGCTGCGGACAGCAACAGCGGGCTGTGCTCCGTTCATTCCCGGGGAACCTGCGGGCTCAGAGGTGGCTGCAGGCACCCGGGCAGGTGAATGGGAGGTGCTGGCTTCCCCCGTGGGGTCTACGCTGCTCTCCTGTTTCTCTCTCACCGGCACCTTCAGGATGTCAGTGGTCACGCGAATGTAACTCACTGCTTTTTTTTAAAGTGTCCAAGCTCCTGGCTACAAGGTCTCTCCTGCCTCCTTGGCTGATGAAGGAAATGTAACAAACCAAGGTGCGGGCGGCGCCGGGGACAGGGAGCCTGTCTTCTCGCTGAGCTCTCCGGGCCCCTGGGATCCAGAGCCAAGATAGCTCCATAGCAGAGTGACATTGGAGGCAGGATGACTCCTTTTTGTTTTGTAATGATTTTTTACAAAAAGAGGAAGGAGAGGGATACAGAGCTAGAAACATCGATAAGAGAGAAACACTAATCACTGCCTCCTGCACACCCCCCACTGGGGATGTGCCCGCAACCAAAGTACATGCCCTTGACCGGAATCGAACCCAGGACCCTTCAGTCCACAGGCTGACGCTCTATCCACTGAGCCACACTGGTTTTCGGCGGGACAACTTCTTTTTAAAAAGCAAATGGATGTGTTGTTTCCTAGCCCGACTATCACAAGTTAGAGAAGTTTTTATTTTCGTTGTTGGGTTTTTATTTTCTGTTTTGTTCTGTTGTGTTGTTTTGTTTTTACCAGAGTGAGGGTGCTGTTTATCTTTCTTGGCTGCTTTCTGACACGTGAGTTTAGTCGATGCTGAAAGCCATTACCTTTTCGTTCCCCCGTGTTTCCTCCGTACCGGGGAGAGCTAACGGGCTGCCCCTCCTCCGGGCACGGGTGCTTAGCCCAGTCCTACACTTCCTATGGCCCCCTCCTCCGGGGGCGGCCCTGTGCCTCCGTGTGCGCACTTTGGGGGCCAAGCCCATGGTTCAGGCTTCTCTGTGTGCCTAAACCGTGGGCTTGGTGGTTTCCCGGTGTGCCTCGTGGTCTAAGGCAGATAATGCTGGAGCCAGGACACGCCTCTGGGCAGGGAGGTTTAACTAATTGCTAGCTGTGCCGAGGGAGAGCCAGGCCCTATGACACCTCATTGCTAACGGGGGTAATAAAACCTGCAGTGGGTTCTCATCGTCACGTGAGAACAAATAAGTGCATGTGATCTAGATGGAAGCAGGTGTGTATTACAGGCTGTGACTGCTTCAGGCAGGCAGTAAGCCCTCACTGAGCTCCCACACGGCTGGCCGGGGCATCCTGGGTCGGGGGTTGGTACCCCGGACCTGGGAGTGGCCGTGGCGTGTGGGTGGGCAGAGGACAGCCAGGCAGAGGCACGGCGGCCGGTCTCCGCAGGCGCTCCCCTGGCTGGAGACGGCGCAGCTTTCAGCTCCTCGTGGGCTCCTCGTTTGCTCAGCTCGCTCACCAGGCCTTAACCAGCCACACTAATACCTAGCACACCTATTCACGCTCCCACTACTCAGTAAAGAAAAGTCATCAAAATAATACTGAAAAGCACTGAGTGTGACCAGTGCTTTATTTATAAACTTCAGTGGAGGGAGTGGTATGTTATGATACGTACGCACTGGTTGAGCTTGGGAAGTCGTTCTGTACCTAAGTCTAAAAATTGTAAATTATCACAGAGCCTAGGATTCTTTAAAAAGTAATGGATTATTCAAGCTGCATATGATATGAACCAATATTGAGTTCTAAGTGAATATTTTACTTGTGTTTTTAAAATCCAATTAATTTGATTTGCTTACTTAAAAGCAAGACATTGTCAACCTGTTAGAACTCTAGAAGTAAGGCTTTTGAAATAAAGTTCTGAAGTTTTACTTTACACTAGAAGTTAAATAGAATGTGCTTTGGGAGCTCCGAGGCAGGAAAACACAGACAGAAAAAGGTGCCCTACAAGTTGAAAGTCCCAGGAAGGATAAGCCCTTGGCTTCCGTGACAGTGAAACTGAAGTGTAACAAGCCTGGGGATAGTTACATATTAAACTTTTTAATAACTTCATGGAGGTGATTAAACTATATTTTCCAAAGTTTTTAAATGTTTTTTCTTTCTTTGAAAGAGCAACACATTTCCTGCTTTATGGTTATTTCTTCCCAAGCGTAGTGTTCTCTCTGGCCCTCAGTGTCCTGGGGGGGCGGGGGGAGGACAGCAACTCCCTCAGCCGGAGGCTCTCCCACGTGTGTGTCCTTGGCCAGCGCCTCCTTTTATTCCTTCGGCCGGAACTGGCCCTCCAGCCACCAGCACCCACCGCAGCCACAGCCGCAGCACCTGGGCCCCTAAAGCCATTTAAAAGGCGAATGCCATGTTAGGATTTATTCTTTTGATTGATTTTTTTCTTTTTAGTTTCCCTGGTTACGGTGAAAGGGGCTTGTCCCTTTGTTGCCGGCTACACCCCGTCACTGGGAGCAGCGGGCCCTTCCTGCTGAGGGGAAGGGGGGCGGTGATGGTCTGTCCTTTCGCAGGACATGTCTCTCCTTCGTTTAAGGGGCACGTTGTCTTGTGCCTCCTGAGCCTGACCTGTCGGCTGGAGGCCCCGGGGCCCACAGACGCGGGTTCTGGTGCGTTGGACCAGCGGCCCCGGGGCAGGGCTGGGGCCTCCCGGAAAGAGCCCGCCACTGCCGCCTGGACTCTGCAGACGGCAGCAGCAGGTGCAGGCGGCGTTTTAAAAACGCCTCCTCCAACCAGGAAATTCTAACTTGAACAGCAGCAGACCTCTCCTGGCCGGAGCCTCGGGGCACTCAGCGGCACCCATCGCCTCTCCTGGGCCCGCACCTCGGGAAGGCCGGGCCCGGGCCGGAGCCCCACTGCCCGCCCCGTGGCTTTCCGTTCACGGTGGGCCGGCCGGTGCGGGCGTGGCAGGGAGCACTGTCCCCCGTGGACACCTCCCAAGCTGGGCAGCCGAGAGGGCTCAGAGCCGCCCGCCCCGGCTCCGCAGGCAGGGAGGCGGCGGGCGGGGCTCCCGCACAGGAGAGCCGCGTTTTTCTTCGGACACTGCGGCCTGACCTGGCTTTTCTGTTTCCGGCCAGGCTCCCGACGGCACTGAGCGGGGTGCTGAGGCCCGGCCCGGGAGGGGCGCCTGGAGCTGCCTCCGTCCTGGGGGTCAGCCCTCCCCGCTTTGCGGAGGCCCCGGGAGGACTCGGCTGGGATGCCCGCCGCGTGAGCTCCTCGGCAGGATGGACGAAGGGCTGGAATGTCGCGACTCCTCGGCGGAGAAGCGCTACTTCCCCGAGGCCCCGGAGTCCAGCGAGGGCGAGGACGACGGCCTGCCGGCCTGCGAGGACCTGGAGCTGAACCCCTTCGACGGGCTGCCCTACTCCTCCCGCTTCTACAAGCTGCTGCGGGAGCGGGAGGCGCTGCCCATCTGGGCGGAGAAGTACTCCTTCATGGAGAGCCTGCTGCAGAGCCAGGCGGTCATCGTCTGCGGGGAGGCCAGGTGCGGCAAGAGCTCCCAGGTGAGCGTCCCCACACACGGCCCGGTCGGTGCGCGTGTGCGTCGAAGGAAGCCAAAGGCCTCGCAGCAGCAGTGAAGTCCGGGTGCACTCGGGTGCCGGCGCCTGGGGTTAGCGAGCCTCTGGGTTTCCTGGGGGTGGGAGCAGGCCCACGCCGTGGCCTCAGCTGCGTGGATTTTAAAGCTGAGACACGTGCTCTGCCTGCCAGGGCTTCAGGGTGTGACTGACAGGATGCCTGGATGGCTTGTTGGTAAAGCTGGGGGGGGACTCGTGTCTGGGGGGGATCTCGAGTCTGTGAGGGGGGCACTGGGGCCTAAGGCTGCCAGGTGTGGACTCGGTGACTGGTGCTGAGTGAGGAGTGAGTGGGGGGCCCTGGCACAGGCAGGCTGGCCTGTGGGAGGAGCCGGGCGGGCATCCGCCTGTACGTGTCCCCCGCGGGCAGCGCTGAGCCGGTACAGGACGCCACAGCCGCTACAGGTTCTGGTCTGGACTGGGCCCACCCCGAGGACCTCCAGCCCAGCGCCCGTGCCTGTCGCCTGGGGCGGGTGGAGGACTTAGCTTTGCTGGCTGAGATGGTGCAGCTCGTAGAATTTCAGTCCCTGGTGTCGAGGAGGCCCTGGTGCAGATCAGATCCTGGTCGCCAGGCCGCCTCCCCTTTAAGCGGCAGGCAGCCACCTCACCTTTCGGAGAGCCAGGGCCGTACCCGGTCCTCACGGCACCCAGGGAGCCTGGGGCCAGACCTGGTTCTCAGGACACCCATGATGGCCGCCTCCTTTGCACCCCGAGGCGGCGTCACTGCCCTGGCTGTGAACCCCCACCCCCTCCTCCCCTCCCGAGGACAAGGCTGAGAGGCGGGCAGTGCCCTTCACTGGCGGGGTCGGGACTGCACACACACCTGGGCTCGCACTTCCCACCCGTCACTCCCGCACCAGCGCCCCTGAGATAAGCCGGTGTGTTTGCCTTTAAATACAGGGAGATGCTAACGAGCTCATCTGTTTACTTTATTCTGAGCATTTAAATATAAATGCTTTCACCTTGAGTCACCATTTCTCATCTCAATGCTATGCAATGTTTACTTTGCTTAAAACACAGTAGTTGATATGGTCAGACATGTTTCTTATGGAGGTTTCCTGGAGCCAGAAAGTAAGTCATAAATAGTTTTTTTGTTTTGTGTTTGTTTTTGTTTTTCCCCCCACAAATATAGCTGAGGTTAAAAACACATGTACTTTGCCTTTCACTTTTACCTGCCCTTTTTAAAAAACATCTGGGAATCACTAACAGTCCCGCTAACACCTTCCTATCCTCTGGCTTTCCTTCGTTGCCGTGGTAACTGTGGGTAGACAGACTGTTTGGAGGCTCAGTCAGGGTGACTCGCTGGTGACCCCGCTTACGCCATGACCCGGCGGCTTCCCCTCGCCCGCAGGTGCCGCAGTGGTGCGCCGAGTACTGCCTGTCGGTCCGCTACCAGCACGGCGGCGTGGTGTGCACGCAGGCGCACAAGCAGCCCACTGTGCAGCTCGCCCTGCGCGTGGCGGACGAGATGGACGTCAACATTGGCCACGAGGTGGGCTACGTGGTCCCGTTTGAGAACTGCTGCTCCAGCGAGACCATCCTGAGGTGGGTGGGGTCCGCCTGCCGTGCTGGCCCTGGGCCGGGGCCCCATCCCCGGGGCGTGTGCCCCTCATTCCACACCCAGACATCTGCTGTGCTCGTGACAGCTGTCCCAGCCTGGCCTCGTCCGGATTCTTCCTGGTCTAGTTCTCCACGACCCCCGTGACCCTCAGGAAGGTCACTTGTTGGGTGGCCCCCAGACACAGTCTTGTCTTCTCCAGCCCCACCTCAGGGTGGGTCCATACAGGCCGGCCGTGTGCCCACCAGACCTGGGGTCTCGCCATCCGCACCACCACTCTGCTTGCTGAGCCGTACCTCTTCGGGCTCGGCTGATTCCCCTGTCCATGCCAGGGTCACCTCCTCCAGGAAGGCTTCCCTGACCTCCCACAGTGTAAACAGAGAACCCGGATGTGGTTACAAAACTGGACATGAGCCTCACCATGGCTGTTTAGATCCGTGTTTTTCAAACTACTTTCCCAAGTCTCCTCATTTATAAATTTGAGCTAGTAACGTCTACCTTCAAGATTTATCCTGAAGCTTAAATGAGAAAGGCAGCAGCAGTGCCTGGCGCACACGTGGGGCTTAGTAAGTGCTCTGTCCTTCCTTTTCTTCCTTGGGAAGGGTCAGCTGAGGTCTGCCAGGCCCAGCACCCCCCCTCCCCCAATGGCGAGGACTCGGGCTCAGCACAGCGCTGGCTCACAGCCACATTTACGCGTGAAAGCACACGCGCCGTCAGCCAGGGAGATGGCCGGGTGGAGGTCACGGAGCCCGGCACCACCAAGGCACTGGGGGCAGAGCCTTCCCTGGGCTGAGGCTCTCGGGCCCGTGGCCCTCTGTCCGGTTTAAAGTGGACGCGGTTGTGAGGGTCTGTCAGTTTTTCCGACGGGAAGGGCTCGGCCCAGTAAAGGCTCTGAACTCCGGTTACAGGGGGGCCCAGCCCAGCATCTCGTGGTCCCGGGAGGCGGGGGAGTCCCCGCACGAGGCTAGCTGTTGCCCCCGCAGGTACTGCACGGACGACATGCTGCAGCGGGAGATGATGTCCAGCCCCTTCCTGGCCAGCTACGGCGTGGTGGTCCTGGACGACGTGCAGGAGAGGAGCATCGCCACCGACGTGCTGCTCGGGCTCCTCAAGGGCGTGCTGCTGGCCCGGCCGGAGCTGAGGCTGGTCATCTGCACGCCGCCCCCGCTGCTCGGCCGGCTCAGCGCGCTCTACGGCGCCGCGCCGCTGGTGCAGGTGCCCGGCGGGCGCCCCGTGGAGGTGGAGCACCTCAGCGGGGCCCCGGGGGACGCCCTGGAGTCCGTCCTGCGCCTCATCTTTGAGATCCACCACTCGGGCGAGAGGGGCGACATCGTCGTCTTCCTGGCCTGTGAACAAGTAAGTAACGAGCTCGGACCCCGCCGAGGAGCACGGTGACGCCGGGAACCCTTGAACCCGGCGGGTGCTTTTAGTGACCAGCACACGGGTCCAGTTGGCCGCTGAGCTAGATATTTGGCTCCTCGCTTTGTCACTTTGGAGGACACGTGGGCAGGTAAATAAAACCCGCCTGCAGAGGAAGTGTTTCTAAAACCAGGCGCTGCTCCGAGGCCTCGTGCAGGTCCATGGAGCGACCCCGGAGCTAGCTCCCTCCCCAGGACCGGAGGTCTGCTGGAGATGAGATGGGACCTAACAAGCGAAGGCTGTGGGCGGGTCAGTAAACAGGCAAACGAGGCCCCACAAAGGCTCGCACAACAGCCAGCGGGCCGGGCAGAGGGACATTGACAGCCGCCCGGGGCTGCCTCCGGGTGCTGGGCCTGGTCTGCAGAGGAAGAAGTCTCCACCTGGAGTCTTCAAAAGAACGACTGGGAACGTGGCACGGCCTGTCGCTGCTTTTAGCGGCGGGCGGTTTGGGGACCCCTGTGTGTACTGCAGCTGCGCGGCGGGCCTTCCCTCCGCTACCGACTCTGAGCCTCAGTCTCCAGAACGAGACCTTGCGTCCAAGGGTGGGCTTCCTGGGCCTTCCTACCCCCCTCTCCGGAAGTCCTGGTTTCAGACTGTGACCCACGTAGGTAGTGACCCCATGACCGAGCAGAAGCCCAGAAGGAACCTGTTCGGCTCTCCCCACGCGGTCACCTGCTTCCTCCGCTGACGGTGGAGCCAAGGAGGGCTGGTCCCCACCCTGGGACCCCAGGTCACAGCGGAGGCTGCGTCTGCTCCGTGCGGACAGTAGTTCGGAATCCCAAGTGCATGGCAGCGAGGGCGTGTTTATCAGCTCGCCGTGTGAGCTGACAGCCTCCTCAGCAGTGACTCCTCGCCCACCTCGGACTTATATTACCGGGTGGTCCTCCAGCACGACTCGGCTACTCCAGAAGCCCAGAGTCCGGAAGTGACTGCGGAGACGGGAGGAGAACTGGTGACGAGGCCTCGGGAAGGGAGGGCACAGGCTCAGGGAGGTCTTCGCCAGGAAGCCCGGTCGCCAGGGGAAAAGGACGGTGCTGGTTACCGGCCAACTCTGAGCTGCACGAGAGGCAGTTCCGTCTCCCCGGGAGGGGCTCTCGCGTGGCCTTCCCCGAGAGCGGACAGCCGGCGGGCGAGGCTCCGGTTCCGTGGCTCCGCAGGTAACTCCAGGAGCCCACGGATAAACGCGCCGCACACACTGAGGAAGAGAGAGGACTACAAACCACTGGAAGCCCAAAATGCATGCTGAAAGCACATGTGTCAAGTTCTAAAGGTTCTGACCGCCAAGCCCTGGGCCAGCTGAGCGTGAGGCGGCAGAACCACCTGCACCACCTGCTCCCACTCGGTCTTTCCTCCTCCCCATTGGAGCCACCTCAGCAGCAGACCCACTGGCAGCTGCGAAGTTCAGGCAGCCAGGAGCCAGTGAAGAGCTAGGGCGGTCCGAAGTGCTGGGGTGAGAATAATTCCCAGAACGACATGGGGGGACCGAGGGCAGGATTTCGCACGCCGAGATTGGGAATCCGGAGACGGGCTCCTGGTTCCTGGTTCTGCCGCCGGGACTCAGTGACGCCTGCACTGATGGGAGTGACTTCTGTGTCGCTGCCACTGACGGAGAGGAGAGCTGATCGGGCTAGAAACGGGTGACCCTGGCCGGCGGCTCAGTAGGTGGAGCAGACCTGCAGACTAGAGGGGCCCGGGTTCGGTCCAGCCAAGGGCACATACCTGGTTGCAGGCTCCTCCCCGGCCCATGCGCAGGAGGCAGCCAATCATAGTGCGTCTCTCACATCGATATTTCTCTTTGCTTCTCTCTCCCACTCTCTCTGAAGAAATCGATGGAAAAACATCCTTGGGTGAAGTTTAAACACAGAACGAGGATGAGTGCGTAGAGGCAGAGAGTGTATCTCACAGAGGAAACACCCTGCAGAGAGCAGTGAGACTCAACTGCCTCCCCCCCACCCCAGCGTGCTCCTGCCACGTCCTCATTTACAGTTAAAGCCACAGACACGTCCCTTCCTGTGGACGCTCGTCTGAGTGCCACCCCTCATGGCTGGTGTCGCCTTTGCCTCTAGGATATTGGAAAAGCCTATGAAAGCGTCTGCCGAGAAGCCTGTCGCCGGGACGCGGACGGCGGCGAGCTGGTGGTGGTGCCCTTGTACCCGAGAGAGAAGTGCGCGCTGTTCAAGCCGCCCGAGGAGACGGAGCGCCGCGGCCCGGCACCGCCGCGGCGAGTGGTGCTGACCGCCAGCCCCGGGGAGGCCCTCATCGGCAGCAGCTCCGTCCGCTTCGTCATCGACGTGGGTGTGGAGAGGAGGAAGGTAACGCTTACCAACAGCGGGGGACGGCGGAGTCCGCTCCTGGGGCTCTGCCCTTTGTGGACCAGGGAGCGAGGATGAGGGCTGAGGGGTGGGTTTGCTCCGGGCAGGGAGTGCCCGCTGTCCTCGGTGGCACCTCCGTGGTCTGGACACGATGAAGGGAAGGAGGCGCTGGGCGGAAGGGCACAGCTAGCAGCACAAGGCGGGAGGGAGCCTCGTCAGCGGTTTTGCTTCAGCGAGTTGCTGCCTCCTGATCAGTTAGGCTCCCGGTGTTTCTGGTAAACCCTTGATCGAGGTCCTCAGCGTCTTCCCACAAGTAACTCACTGAGATCAGTTTCAAGTGCGCTGATGCGGACTTTAATAGGTTTTAGCTCTATAACTACGTAATACAATTCCACCCTAAAACATCAAGACTGCTGTTTCCTATAGCTGCCTTGAAAGAAGGAAATGAGTGAAAATGGCATAGGCAGGCTCACCCTCAAAGGCTGTCCCCACAGGTGTACAACCCCCGCATCCGGGCGAGCTCGCGGGTCCGGCAGCCCATCAGCCACAGCCAGGCGGAGGCGCGCAAGCGGGTCCTCAGCTCCACCACGTCAGGTAGCTGCGGGCACCCCCGACTCCCGGCCACGGCCACGGCCACGGCCACGGCCACGCCAGGCAGGAGAGCTCGCCCCGTCTCTTCCAGGAAAGCTGTTCCGTCTGTACTCGGAGGAGTTCGCCTCCAGGGACATGCGGCCGCTGAAGCCGGCGGAGGTGCAGGAGGCCAACCTGACGAGCACAGTGCTCTTCATGAAGCGCATCGCCATCGCCGGCCTGGGCCACTGCGACCTCCTCAACCGGCCAGGTGTGCGGCGGCGGCGGCGGCGGCGGGGGGCGGGGGCAGAGCGGGTGTGCGGTCACAGGGAGAAGGAGCAGGAATTGTGGTGTCCGGTGGGGAGAAGCACAAGGCTCTCCATCACATGCAGCACCCCGTTCTCGGCGGTCCCCAAGACTGGCTGGTCACGGGACGGCGGTCAGGGAGGACTCACTGTCTCCTGACAGCACGCACACAGCCACATGCCGCTGGCGGGGAGCAGGGCTGTGGGCGCTGACTCTGCCCGGGGAGGGGACGGTGCAGCTGCCCCGCGTTCAGCTGGTGGAAGCAATCACAGCCAGCCAGCTGGCCTCCCTTTCAGGCCCATGAACCGTGAGGAAACGATCTGGCGTAACTGGGCTGCAGGCTGCTAAGTGGGCTCAGCTCCTGATACAGCTCTTTAAAAACAAAGCCGGCCGTTTCCCTCCCTGGCGCTGAGCACTGACCCCCATTGTGAGGGAGTTACTGCTGACCCTGCGCGGACGGGGGCTCAGAGGTTTCCCACCGGACAGCAGTGGCGCCTGGAGAGACTGGATGAGCCTGCCCTGCCTCAGTCCTGTGTGGGCACCGGCACGGGCCCGCTGATCCTCGGGGTGGCTGTCGGGCTCTGATGCTCTCACGTGTGCTGCTGACCATGGAGGGGACACTCGTGGATCCCCCAGGTTCCCTGTGCAGCTGCCTCCTCGCACCCCGATCAGCGGGCTCTGGCCACCACAGGCTCCCCATCCCGCAGCACCATCCCCACAGCTCTGGGTCTGAGGCTCCATCCGGCTGCCCTCCCTGCACCACAGCTTTTCAGGCAGCAGCTGGGCAGTCACGTGGCTCATGCCACTGGTGTCCCCGCTCAAGTGTCGGCCCTTCACGGCCTGGTGTCTGTCTGGGAACTGCTAAGTCTTGTTTGTTCACCAGGGAGGGACATCTGGTCTGTCCCTCCGCCTCGGGACCGCTCTCTCCCAGCCCCCGAGGCTGACCGCTCTCTCTCCAGCCCCCGAGAGCCTGATGCAGGCCCTGGAGGACTTGGACTACCTGGCGGCGCTGGACAACGACGGGAACCTGTCGGAGTTCGGGATCATCATGTCCGAGTTTCCCCTGGACCCGCAGCTCTCCAAGTCCATCCTGGCGTCCTGCGAGTTTGACTGTGTGGACGAAATGCTGACCATCGCTGCCATGGTAACAGGTACCCCGGACCCACTTTGTGAATCTGCACGCCTAGATCTTTAGATGGGATCAGGCATTTTAACAGACGAAAAGGTAGAAAATTATAACCATTACCTTCGTGTGAAAAAACCTACATCAGAGATAGTGAATGTCTTAACCTGACTGGTGAAAGCACACCAGGTTAGCTTTTGCTGACGGCAGCGCAGATCAGGAAAAATTTGAGGAAAATGTGTCACGAGACATGTTCTTCCCCAAACGACGTGTGCGCGCTTTACCTCCGGCCCGTTCCCTTGGTCTGCACGCTTCAGCGGCAGACAGACCGAAGGCTGTGCTGCAGGAGAACTGTGTTCTGATCTGCCCATCCCCACTCCCGCTGCAGCACAGCCCGAGAGACCAGCAGATAGAAAGACAAACCGAAACAAGGAGACACACATAGGACAGCCCCAGGCCCCTGGATGCCCGAGTAGAAGGGAAAACTGACCGTAGGAGTACGACTCCGCTCCACGCCGAGCTGTGCTGCCCGAACGCCTGCCTCCCTCCCTCCCTCACGCCGTCCTCACCCCTTTTGTCTCCAAGCTCCCAGCTGCTTCTCGCACCTGCCGCGTGGAGCTGAGGAGGCCGCCCTGGCCTGTTGGAGGACGTTTCTACACCCCGAAGGCGACCACTTCACCCTCATCAACGTTTACAAGGCCTACCAAGACGCGGCCCTGAGTGCCGCCAGCGAGCGTAAGTGCTGCTGACTCCCAGGGTCACCACGGGCCCCTCCTTCCCAGGAAGCTGAGTGAACAGCGCTCTCCAGCCCCTGGCCACGCCGGTGGGATGGGCTTGAGGCCCTCAGGGCTCCGCAGGCCTCTCTGGCCTCTCTGAGCAGAGCCCTCACTCCGGCTCCAGAGCTCTGGCAGTGGTGGGCTGTGGGGCTGCGGGGCTGCGGGGCTGCGGGCTGGACCCAGCGCTCAGCTCGGCCACACTAAGGGCGCTGCTGGGGGCAGGATGACGCAGGGAGACTGGCACAGCTCCTGCCCTCTCGATTTGGGGAGAAAACAAGGAACTGCCATTGCAGGCGCCCTGGGTCACAGCTGTGCTCCCTACTGTCCGCAGCCTGGCACATCCCTGCTGGGCGGCCCAGCTGGCTGTCCGCCCCCCCTCTCCCCTGCACGCACCCATGTGACTGCCTCAGGCCAGGGAAGCAGAGGAGAGCACCTTCCTGGCCAGGCCCCTGCAGACCACCCTCGATCCTGACCCGTGCCCTCCCCCAGACTGCGTGGAGAAGTGGTGCCAGGACCGCTTCCTGAGCTGCGCCGCCCTGAGGATGGCGGACGCCGTCCGCGCCGAGCTCGTGGAGACCGTGCGGCGGATCGAGCTGCCCTACGCAGAGCCCGCGTTCGGCTCCCGGGAGAACACGCTCAACATCAAGAAGGCCCTGCTGTCCGGCTTCTTCATGCAGGTGAGGACCACGGGGCTGACCCCAGGCAGGCCTGCAGGAGCCTCCGGCGACCGCTTCACTGAGGCTCACTCTAAAGCAGCGAAGCCCTGACGCGCCTTCGTATTTACATGTCCTTCCCCGCGGGCGCGACGGGCTGGGCCAGAACAGCACCTCTGTCCGCGGGGGCGGGGGCGGGGGCGGAGAGGGCAGGCCGGCTCTGACCTGCTGGCGAACTCGCTCATTCAGGGGTGGATAATGCCCAGCAAACAGGAAGCCCTGCCAGAGAAGGGGGCTGACATCTCTCCCCCACCGAGCGCGGCCTCCTGGAGGCGACATCTCAGCGCGGAGGGCCTCGCCCCTGCGGGAGGTCAGGGCCTGGCGTCTGGGTCTGAGGACCAGGCAGCGAGGCCACTGCGTGCGCGTGTGCATGCACAGACATCGCCGCTGCAGCGCCCGCAGCGCCCGGGTTGGACGTCAGCACTGCTGTCTTACACCGGGTCTGGAAGGAGGAAGCAGGGTGGACTCTGCTCTAAGGCTCTGGAGGGAAGGACCCTTTGGGGTTGTTAACCAAGCACAACAGAGTGCTGATCTCCACAGTAACGTGTCTCCTAGATCGCTCGGGACGTGGACGGGTCGGGCAACTACCTGATGCTGACGCACAAGCAGGTGGCGCAGCTGCACCCGCTGTCCAGCTACGCGCTCGGCGGGAAGACGCCCGAGTGGGTCCTCTTCCACAAGTTCAGCCTCTGCGAGAACAACTACATCCGGATCACCTCCGAGACCTCCCCGGAGCTGTGCGTCTCAGGGATGGGCTCCTACCGAGTTAGGCTCCGTTACGGGAGTTCCTGTTCCTCAGACAGGCCTGCCTCCAGGCTGCAGCAGAGGCTCCGTTACCGTAAACACAAAGCAGGGTGCCTCTGACCCAGAACGAATGCTGCGGGCCCCGGCAGGGCCAGGCCTGAGGAGCCACTGAGCCTGAGTTGAGGGGGAGGGCAGGGAGAGGGGGACTGAAGCCAGGCAGCAGCCGGGGAGGTGGCCACAGGGTTTGGGGTTAGGCCGGGGGCAGTACTGAAAGCAGCTGGAGGGTAAGGGCGGCATCTCATGCACCTGAAGACCCCTCTGGCTGCCGAGAACGGGCGTGGGGGCGGGGCAGTGGTGAGAGGCAGACTGGCCTCCCAGAGGCTGGTACAGTGCCGGTCCGTCCTGAAGGTCCCTCCACAGTGGGCAGAGGGCGCTCTGGCAGAAACCGAGGGAAAGCAAGAGCTGTCCACTCAGCTGGCCGTGGAGCGGCTGAGTTAGGAAGAGGGAGAGGCGAAGGCCCTCCTACCGCCCAGAGGCTCCGAGCATCAGATGGGACCCTTCGCACCGGGTGGTCGGAGGGGCAGTGCAGATCCCCGGTGGTCAGAGGGCGGCCCGGGAAGTGCTAGTGGGCTGGTTCCACAAGATCAGCAGCCAGGGCACGGAGGAGCCACGCTAATGCCAGCCTGTGGCTGCTGCAGGGGAGGGGGAGGCGAGCTCGCTGTCTCCCGCCAACAGCGCTGTCTGTGTGGGCACAGGTTCATGCAGCTGGCGCCGCAGTACTACTTCAGCAACCTGCCCCCCAGCGAGAGCAAGGACCTCCTGCAGCAGGCCACGGCCCGCCTGCCCGCCGCCCAAGGGGAGCAGCCGCCCTGCGAGAAGTGCCCCGAGACTACTGAGCAGAGGTGCGCCCTGCAGTGACGCCCGGGCCCTCCCAGAGCCCCGCGCCAGGAACCCCGGCCCCGGGGCCTGCGGGGCGGCGCCGGCAGCACCTCGGGGAGGACGGCCTCCCAGCCGCACAGGAGCGTCTTGAAACAAACGAACACTTTGTATATTATTTAAAAATAAAATATAGTTTTTATTGAGTTCTTTAAATTACTACTCCACTTTTTCTTCTCATAGGAAGGTTTTTTAACCAACCATTCATAATTTGACCAAAACGTTAAAACACTCTTGTAAATGTGTCACAGACACAGACCACAGGACCCTACTTTGTGTAGAGAAGCTACATCTCAAAGTCTGGAGTTTGTCAGTGAAGCTCCTGGGTGTTCTGTGGTTTCACAAGCACAAGCACCCCCTCGGGGAGCGGCTAAACAGACAGGTGTTCCTCCAGCGCGGCCATGACCTCGCCCATCCGGTCACACGGCACCAGCATCACGGTGCGCAGTGGCTGCATCGGGACGTCGTCGAAGGACCACCGGCCGCCCAGACAGGAGTCGCTCTCCTCCTGCACCGAGTAGCTGAACCGCAGGGCCGCCTTCTGAACCACAAACACCGGGAGTGAGCCACCCGCACGCAGTCAGCAGCAAAGAATACTGTCCGCCGCGTTTCCTTAGGAACGGGCTGGAGGAAGCCGAAGGGACTCTCGCCAGCAGCGGGTGACACTGAGCCATCGCCCCTCACACAGTCTACCACTCTGAAGCCACTCAGTCACCCCCTGTGACAGGGACAGCAACAGCCACAGCACCGGGCAGCTGACAAGACGACCCTGCAAACGCAGGCCTTCCCCGCTGCCCAGCGGCCTCCTTGGCAGAGCTGCTGGGGGCGAGGGGAAGCGTGCAAAGCCGACCGTGTGCCACCACCACACACACACCGAGAGGCTGGCAGAGCCTCCAAGCTTCAGTCCCCGTCTCCTTCCGAAAGCACCCGCAATGCGGCCGGTGCTGACCGGGAGTCTCCAGAGAAATACAGGCGGCGGCCATCCCAGGAGCGGGCCCTCCTCGGAGGTTTACGCCTGGGGAGGGCTGCACGGGGGAGGATGTGCTCCATGTGGCCGGCCATCGCGCACAAGCACCTTTCCAGGAAAGAAAGTGCTAGAAACCCACTAACAGGATGACATCTAGGACGAGGGGCAGAGCGGCACGGGAGCCAGATGAGGTCCACCCGGTGGGCTGGGACCTCAACTGACGACTCTGTCCCTCAGACTCAATGTCCACCTTGAGCCATGCTAACACTGCCTCCCGGGGTTTGGGAGGCACAGCTCTCGCAGCACATTACCAACGCCTGGTCCCTCCCGCAGGTGCAGGGTTTCCCTCACACACTCACCACCAACAGGGGCTGGCGGCGATGGCTGTGAGAACCTAGCGCACGCCTGGCACTGGGAGCTGCTGGCAGGAGGATATGGAGGAGAACAGGGCCACGCTCAGAAGTGATACAAAATGGGAGAGTCCTTACTGTCAAGAAAATCCCCATATACAGGGAACCCTGGTTCTGAAACCTAATTTGTTCCGGAAGGCTGTTCAAGAAGCGATTTGTTTGAAAACCAAATCAGCAAAAGCAAAAAAAAACCCAAAAACACATTCCCAGCACAATTTCCTGAGATGTTAACAAGGTAGGTTTAGCAGTGAACTCACTCTCCTTTGTCCCCTGAGAGGCGCACACTGATCACGTCAGCATGAAAGGGCTGCTGGTTGAGAACCAAAATGAGAACAGGAGGTTCCGCCTAAACAAACACAGTGAACAAGCATCTTACCTCGTAGAAAAATTCTTCCTCTGCTTTTGCAAACATTAACTCATCTTTCTTTTGGCTGCTCTGGTTCTTTTTGGAATTGTTTTTTCCTGCTTCCGCAAACGTCTTGCTGATCAGAAGGTAGAAGTGACACTTCCCACAGGGCTTGTTGGTCTTGTGTGCCTCTGCCAGCTCTTTCCTGCGAGAGATACACAGGTCTGCTGCCAGGCCAGGCGACATCAGCCCAGCCCCCCCAGGCCCGGGGGAGCGGGAGGCCTGGCAGGGCAGCTGGGACCGCGCACTGCGCAGACGTCAGGTCTGGCGCTGCACAGCAGTGCGTTTCAGTTCTGCCGCCCGCACCTGGATCATTCTAACGGTGCTTCATCAAGGACAGGGTGACGAGTGGCTCAGATTAGGCTCTGAGCTGTCAGCAGATCTCAGATTCCTCAACCTCACCGCTCTGTGCACAAGTTACAGACACTAAGAACCTCGAGTTTTAAAACAGCAAACATGGGACTGAAACACACAAAGGCCAGGGCCACTCCCAATGCCAGGGAGCATGGGACTGCTCAGTCTCCAATCACCAGTCCAGGACTAACTGCTCACGCGGCAGAAGCCACACTGCAGACACCTTCGCTCTGCAGTCAGCCCCACAGCAGTGAAGCCTCCGTTTCCTTCCTGAAAAGTAGGCATCATCCTGGGCACCCGGCAAACAAAAACAAGGGAACGCACAGCCCCACTCAGCTTCCTCTCCCGGAGGATCAGAAGGCGGCCACCACCGGGAAATCAGAGAAATGTGAGCTCCCGCTGATCAGGAAAACAAACCCACTACGGAGCTTGGGGGGAGGGGAGGAATCTATATAAAACCCCAATATGCAAATAGACCAAACAGTGGAACGACCAGTTCCTATGATGCTCACTGACCACCAGGAGGCAGACACAGGCGCTGAGTTTCATTTTAATGAAATTTAGGAATTTTACTCAGTTTTTGTTACTGTTGTAATTATTCAGTATTTTTCACGTTAATCTACCCATGAGAAAGGTGAAAAACTAGTCAAATAGGAGTGAAAAGTTTACATGAGACTCACCTACTTTAATGCCACTTAAATCTTTAAGGTTACGAAGATTTGTCAGAATAGCCTTTTCAAACGGAAAAGCCGATAGCGAGGACCCTGCGCAGCTCCGGACGAGCACTCTCGCCCACCCCCGGCCGCCCAGCCCAGGGCGGGCTCCACACCCTCTCGTGTCCCATTTCTGACCCCCGGGGAGCCTGCGGGCTGGGCTTACTGGAGCTGCCGGTGCAGGGGCAGCGCGACCTGCGCGGGGACGTTGATGAAGCGCTCGCTCAGGAGCAGGCCCACGGGCCGGGAGCTGTCGTTGAGGAGCTTGTCCAGCTGCTCCACCACGCTCTTCTCACAGCTCTTCGCACAGCCGCGCAGAGCCAGCGCTTTGATCTGCTCGGCACACGGGGTCCCCTGAAAGCAGAGACGGCGCTGACCACAGGCCATCGCTTCCCGCAGAGGCCTGACGGAGCACCGCCTGCCACAGGAGGGCAGTTCTGTCCCAGCCTGTGCTTCTGAGGCTACTGTGCCTGGTGTAACTGCCACCATGACGGTGGTGAGAGGGCCGGATGAGCTAATGCACCTCACAGGTGGCGGCAGGAACTGCAAGCTCATTTAAAGCAGAGTGCAGCCTGCGCCCCGTGAGGAGGGGAAGCAGCTGGGATCCCTTTTCCCTGGATCAGCAGAGAGCAGGAAAGAGCGATGAGCGCCAACTCTGTGACTGTCCGTGTCAGCAGCGCCCTCCCCTTGGGGAGGGGCAGCCCAGCCCACCACAGAGCAGATGCAGGGGCAGACCAGCCACGGGTCAGCCCGGCCAGGCAGGGACTCTACACACAGGAGGAAAGGCTTGAACTGGTACACACCAGTCAAAACAAACGCCTCTGCTGGCCAGAGTGGCTCAGGGGTTGAATGTTTGTTCAGGAACCAGGTGGTCAAAGTTTGATTTCCAGTCAGGGCACAGGCCCGGGTTGCAGACTCCATCCCCAGCATGGGGCGTGCAGGAGGCAGCCGACCCATGATTCTCTCTCATCATTGATGTTTCTAGCTCTCTCCCACTCTCTTTCTCTGAATAAGAATATTTTTAAAAAACATAAAAAATTATCTTCACTTGAAAACAGGTTACGGTGCGACTTCACAAGAGCACGCGCTTACCACACTGTCAGGCAGGACAGAAACCTTCATGTGTTACACAGGCGATGTGGCCTAAGGGGGACCACACAGGTGCCCAGGGGACCCACCTTGCGCTCAGTTAGATTGAGAAGACTTATGAAACCAAAAACCTCATCTTCGTCCACATCATCGTCACTGTCTTCTGAAACATCCGTTTGCTGTTTTAAAAAGAAAAGTGTTTAATTTACACTTGGTTGGGAAAAATAGAACACCAAGCCTGGAATCTAGCCTCATTCCTCTGTTTAAATAAACTGTCTTATCACTGTCACCAGAAAAGCATCATGGGTAACGGCGGTGTGGCCCTGTGCCTCCTTGATTCCATACTCTTTCCACACTGGGCGTGACCTCTCCTGCCCTAAGGGATACGAGGCTCCTAAGACATTTTCTTTACTAGATTTTCAACAAGTTACAACCCAGAACAGCTAATGCCTCACCCAAGTCCTGGCTCCTAAGGTGACCGATGCCCGGGGGGGCGCTTATTCTCAGGCAGACAGAGGCGAGAACGAAATGGCAAATTCAGAGAACAGCTAATGAAAAGCGTGGCTCCCCCGGAACCGCCTGGCTTAGATGCACCAAACGTTCCTCTCCCAAGACCGACCTGCTCAGCCTCGTCCAACCCGGAAGGTCCCAGCAGGAAATGGAGTCGACAATGAGTGGGCAAAGGGGTGGGCACAGGACCACACCAGTGACAGCTCCACACGGAGCGCCAGCCATGTACCAACAGCTCTAAGCACTTACACTCAGCTACTCCGTGCGTCCACCGCCCACCCTTCAAGGTGGGCACACGCATCATCCGTTGTCAGACTGACAGCGGCTCAGAAGGTCATCACCGCCTGGACTTCCCCAGAGGGCCACAAGGACATCGCCTATCCCTCCTTGTCGGACAGTGACCCACACACTCCTCCCGTCAAGAGGCGGGGGGTCTATGCGCCCTCCCCTGGAACCCACGTGGGACTTCCTGTCTTCAAAAACTCCCAAGCCTTCAGCTGCTGTGCAATAGCTCATTTGCATTGTTACAGGCAAATCACAACTGGAAATGTACCAGTCTGCACCCAGGTTCCCTCCCAACCTACCGTCCTCCATGTGCTGTCCTGGTTGCTTAGCCAGACCCTCGGAGTCATGCCTGACTCCCTTCCCCTCCTCCAGCCCATCGTATTTCACCTCCCAAATGCCTTCTGAACCAGCCCACTTCTCTCCCTCCCCACCGCCACCGCACTGCGGCACCTCATGACCCAGTCTCCTGCTCCGTGCCGACTGAGGCATCCGGCCGGCCGGCCATACACCAGGATAAAGAACCAATTCAATGAGAATGAGCACAGCTGCCTGCTCACCTTAATCACACTCCCGATGTGGCTCTGCTGGATCAAGAGCTCCGTTAGCTCCGCGGTGTTTACAGGTGCCTTTAGGAAAAGCTAAGAGAAAAACATTGGTTTTAAATCAAAGTCAGAGTGTGATACCTAAAAATACACCTAATTTCCATATTCAAATAAAAACCATGAAATGTCAGTGATCTGACCAGGAAGGTGATAGGACACTAAGGGCTCTCTCTCCCGTGTGGGGCAAAGGAAAATGGAGCAGCAGCAGGTGCTGCCGGGATGTGACTTCCAGGGAAGAATTCCTCTCCTGAGAGAGCCGGGATGTGACTTAGGACGAGACAGAACAGTGGTCAAGTAATTAGCAGCTGCGAGTGTGGCAGGAAGAGGAACAGTCAGACAGGTCCACGGAGGAAGGGGCTGGGAGCAGAAGCACAGAGAGGCCTTCCCTCTGGGCTGGGCCAGGGGAGGGGGAGGGAGGACGGGAAGGGAATTAAAGCAGAGGAGCGAGCTGACAGCGGTGCTGGCGGGCCTGGATTTTCTCAGAAGAGCGAGTTTGTGCGTAAGGAGTACAAAGCAGTACCTGCTGCAGCAATCTCTTAATTCCGTCATAATCGCTGTCTGAGATGGAGAAAGCTTCAAACTCAACGTTCACTTCCTGTAAATCACACACAAACTGGTCATCACACAGAACTAAGGACGTCAGGCATTCTGTCCCCCGCAGATGTCCTTCTCCCGCTACCTCCATCCTCCTGGCTCTAACTCGCACAAATCCCAAAGCCCTCAGCCCTGTTCCCAAAAGCCGGAACAAGACACTGGCCAGGTTTCCGGGTGAGAGCAGCTCTGGGTGAGCCGGCCGGCCACAGGGGAGCCCGCACAGGACCACCTCCCAGGCCCTGCACCGCCTGCGCCCGACCCCAGCCATTCACCTGGCAGATACCACGCACTGTGCCCGGCACTCAGGTGACCAGGTGAGGACGTGAAGGACCCTCCCTGCCTTCAGAAAGCCGGGGTGTAGGTGGGAATACAGACGTTAGGGAAATATTTACGTAAACGTACAGCTGCGCCTACACAGCAGCTTGGAAACAAGGCCAGGAAAGACTTCCCTTGAGAAGCGCCGTCTGAGCTGGGAACGGAGGACAGGAGTCCCTGGGGCAGGAGTCCAGGGCCCAAAAGGTGTGCAGCTGGGTCCCTGACCTCCATCTGCAGAACCACCAGGACACAACCTAGGCGACCACTGAAATATCCCACAAGTAAGGACATGGAAGGGTCACTTCACACCACAAACAAAACCCGAGATGCTTTCAAATGCCACACAACATCGACCCTGGAGGACCCTGGTAAGTGACTCGGACCGCGGGGCTCCGGGGAGAGGTGACTTGCACGCATTTCCGGTTGTGCAGGTCCTGGGATGTGGGTCTTGGCTGACGGAGACCACAGAGGAACAGCAAACTCACTGCCGCCGCCCGGCCGATGTGCAGGGATGTGAGCACCGGCGCTAACTGGCAGCGCCCGAACACAGGTCCTTGTGCGGCCCTGGACCCCGGCTCTGAGGTCAGCTCAGCCAGGTCACGTGACCAGCAAACTAAACCAAACAACTGGCTGTCCTGACTGGGCTCTGAATGTAAAACACTAACAGACTCCTGCCCGGCCGGCCTTCGCGGTGGAGCATCAGCCTGTGAACCAGATCACAGGTTCCCCCAGGGCACAGGCCCTGGCTGCGGGCTCCATCCCCAGAAGGGGGCGGGCCGGAGGCAGCCCATCCACGGTCCTCTCCTCGTGGACGTTCCTCTCTGGAGCCAATGACATGCGCGTTTGTCAGAGGCCCTGCAGCCAGCGCCGCGCCGGTTCCCTTGGGGAAAGGGGCGGCCGGGCGGGCGGGTGTAGCCTGAAGTCACCGTGCGGCCGCGGAGTGCAGAGGCCGAGGGGGGACCGAGTGAGCCTTTACCGCCTGGAAGTCGCTGCCCCGGGCGCCTGCACCCTCCCCGGCGGGGCCGCCGCGAAGCACGTCCCGGCTGGACGCCAAACCGGGGTCGGGGGCCTGCTCACCTCGCCCACAACCTCGTCTTCATCCTCTTCCTCGTCGCTGTCCCCTTCGTCGTCGTCGTCGTCGTCCTGGTCCTCCGTTTCCTCGTTCTCTTCCTCCTCGGGGCTCGGGACCGGGGCGCCGGGCGCCTGCGGGCTCCCACCGCCCACGGCGCGCCGCTTCGGCCTGGACGCCATGCTGCCGCGCTCACTGCGCCTGCGCAGCTCCCGCCCCGGGGCGCAGCCGCCGAGATGGGCGGAACCATTGAGCCAGGGGGGTGAGAGGCCGCGTAGAATCTCGGCGCTGAGTCGGCGACAACCCCAGCGGCCCTGCCGGATTTTAAAGCCATGGAACAAGGGGAAAATCCGGTTCTGGGTCCTATCCTGCCCTCTTCGTCCTTCCTCCTCCTTCCTTATCCGCCTTCCCGAGACTCATCCCCCCTGGGATCAATGGTTCCGCTCATCTCGGCGGCTGCGCCCCGGGCCTGGTGTCCGTGCGCATGCGCGAGCTCCAGCTGTGCGGGCCGCGGGGCCGCCGCGGTGGTGGCGGTGGTACCCGGCCTGGCGTGGCCGTCGCCATGGCAGCGCCGGCCACGTGATGAGGGGCCCACCCACCGCTGGTCGCTCTCGTGTCTCACAGCCTCAGATCGGGATCGCGAGACACCGCCCGCCGGGCGACTTCCTAGTGCGATCGGCGGGCTGGCAGGGCCCCAGCTCCCAGACCTTTCGGGCCTCACCAGCCCGGCGAGGTAGGTGTCGCCGCCCAACCTACCCACGAAGACACGAGGCCTCCGGACCTGCGGGGCCCACCCACCTGCGGCGCTAGCGAGTGCAGGACTAGTCGGGGGCGGAGCCGAGGCCGCCGGAGGCCTGGGTGTGGGCCGTGGCCCGGGGTAGTGATGGACTCCAAATGGAAGGTCACCGGGTGGTGCAGCTGCCCCCATGCCAGGCCCAGGCCGGACCCTGCGGGCGTCCTCCCCAGCACGGGCTCGGCCGAGTCAGGCACTGAATGCCTGCCCCTGCGGACTTTCCTGAAGCCCATTTCTTGACCTGAAAGGTTCTTGAAAAGCAGGGATGGGCCAGCAATGCTTCAGGGCCAGTAGGGAAATTTGAGAGAACAGTGGCCGGCACTGTGGCGTTACAGAAAGGATAGGAAGTACATAATAGGCTTAAATATGTGTGGACAAATTGTGTTCTCGGTTAGAAAATTTTGAAAGATTACTTCATGATACTGACAGCACTTAAAAAACATCACTTAAGTAGAAAAGTCGCCCGTCGGTGTGGCTCAGTGGTTGAGCATTAACCCATGAGCTAGGAGGTTCAATTCCCAGTCAGGGCACATGCATGCCAGGTTGTAGGCTCCATCCCCAGTAGGGGGCGTGCAGGAGGCAGCCGATCAGTGATTCTCCTTTACAGATGTTTCTCTCTCTTCCTCTCCCTTCCTCTCTGAAATCAATAAAAACATGTCTTTAAAAAATAGAAAAGTCAATAAGATGATTTCCTAGGGAGCTTACAAGCAAACAACTTAGTATATCTTGAACTGGAATAATTAATTACTTCCATTGTGAGACACCATTTCCCTACTTACTCATACAACCCGGAATTGGCACCACTTCTCCCCGAGCCTCACGGGTTTGGCCGAGACGCTGGCTCTCCCCGGGCCTTCACCTGCCTTCCACGCTATCAAGTGCCAGCAGCTGTCCCCGGCCTTATCAGTGACAGGGGCTCCGCAGGAACCAGCCTGTTCACGCTGAGTCAGTGGGCAGGGGCCAGGCCATGTCAGCCAGCAGTTGGTTACCTTCCACCCCCACCCCATCCGCCCACATGGTCCAGGAGGAGTCTCTGAGGTCTGATTGAGGCCCGTGTCCCCGCTCTGTCACAGCGCCAGGCAGTGATGAAGGTTCTTCTGCTGAAGGAGGCTAACGATGACGGCGGCCAGGATCCCTACATCAGGGTGAGTGCCCGAGCGCCGGGCCCCAGGAACCGCTCATGGGGGAAGCCGGGCCTAGAACTGCCCTGGGCCCCAGCACCCGCCCTTCCTCCCAGCAGCCCGGCCAACCCAGAGCCGGTCCTTTTGTTCGCAGGAGTTGGGATCACACGGACTTGAAGCCACTTTGATCCCTGTTCTGTCATTTGAGTTCCTGTCTCTTCCCACCTTCGCGGAGAAGGTAAGGTCTGCGGTGTCTGAGCACCGTACATGTTTGTTTCTGGAATCCGTGCCAGCCCAAGCCCTGTACTTCCCTCCTTCCCCTCACTGTGCTGCCCAGCTTCTACACTGGGCGGCACCCACCACTCCGGATCCGGCCCCAGGCCCGCTGTGGGCCACCTGAGCCTCCAATGGCTCCCGCCCTGACCTGGAGGCGGCCAGGAGAGCAGGTCATGGGAGGGCGCTGCTCGCAGTTCAGCCCTGGCACACGAGAGGCAGGGTTGAAGCTCAAGACCAGTACGTGTGCCCAGAGCCTCGGCTCTGCCGCCCTGGGTAGGAGGGGCCGCACTGCCCAGGCCAGTGGAGACAGATGTTTCAGGTTAAAGGCGCGGTGCCCACAGCCCTGCCCTCGGCTCCACACCCCTCCGCACAGGCCACCCTCATGTAAAGCCTCCCTGCTCCCGCATTCAGTTAGAGCTGAGCATCCGCCGCTCACTGACCTCAGAGACAGCGAGCGGCCGGCCACGTCCCGTGCCCTGGGCTCCTGGGCAAGGGCCCCGTTGGTCAGCTTTTCCACAGCCAGCTTCACACGGGAGCCAGGCTTCTCATGTGAGATCACTTCTAGGACCTCAAGGTCAGAAAAGCCCTCGTTTCTTCAGCAGCCTCTCCATCACCACCGGCCAGGCTGCCCGTGAGGGAGAGGGTTCCGGACACGCAGGGAGCACAGTCTCAGCTGCTCCCTAGCCCCCCCCCCCCCCCCGCCTCTGAGTTTAATCCAAGGGGGAGCACAGCCCCATCTCCGGCCCTGCACAGACTCACGTCATGGGAGGTGCGCACAGCAGCCCGGGGCCTGCTCCCAGTAGATTTTGTCACCATTGTCTGAAAATCGGCTTCAGCCTGGCCACCACCCCAGTAGATAGTCCAGTTTTATTAGACACAGGTCAAGTCTGCCCTCAGCCTGCACCCCTTGCTAGGCCGCGTCCCAGTGCCCCTCTGGTCCAGTTACACCCACACCCTATGTACACCTGCTGTCTCCCCTTGACCCTGAGCCGCTTGAGGGAGATGCTAGGAATAAGGAATTTGTCTAGAATAGGGCCAGACACACACATCTCTCAGTAAGTGTTGAGTGGGAGGGTGGGAGGGTGGGTGGCTGGATGGATGGACGATGGATGGACAGAATGAATTAGTTTGCCCACCACTCGCATGAGCATTTGGAATTCTGGGTAATGTCGCAGTCATCACAAAGTGCCTTTGGGTTTGGTATGCAGCTGTCACACCCCGAAGGCTACGGAGGGCTCATTTTCACCAGCCCCAGGGCCGTGGAAGCGGTGAAGCTGAGCCTGGAGCAGGACGGGAAGAGCGAAGGTGAGGGTGGGGCCGGAAATGCACTGGCTCACGTCACTGATTCCTCCCGTTGGCCATACTAGATTCCAGAAGCCAGGTTTGGAAACTCGGTGGCCCTCAGCTCTATGGTAGTTAGGTACCCAGTTGTTCGTGTGTGTAGCCCTGGAGGGAGCAGAAACGGCCTTCTGGAAGCGTTTCTTGCTGTCCCACGCAGGTCACCTCAACCCCTGAGCCTTCAGACCGAACCACCACCTTGGTCTGTCCGATGGAACACCCTTCCGCTAACATTTATGGAGTGCCTACTGCATACAGGCTCCGTCACTGTGCAGTCATCGTCCCCTCTACCCCAGGGCACACATCCTGTGGCCCTTGGTTTACAGATAAGACTGAGGCTTGGCAAGAGTGGGCACTAGTCCACGGCCATGGAGCCAGGCAGCCAGGCCCGGCCAGCTCGCTCTAGTGCTGAGTGGAGGCAGCAGGGTGGTGCTTACCCACAGGGCTTGCAGGGAGCTGGGCCTGGGTTCAGGGGGTCACTCTGATCTTGGAGAGTCCCTAGACCTCACTGAGCCTGTTTCCTTGTTGTGAAGAGGCCCAAGGATGCAGCATCATTGGCTCATCACGTACACTTGAGCAAGCTAGGACTCATGGTTGGCCCCGTGCCTGCAGGTGTGAACAGTGTAATGGCGGGGGTGGGGGTAGTTTGGGATGCTGCTCTTTAGGTCTGTGTACTATAGGCTGCCTTGCTCACAAGCTTCAGGACGAGCAGGCGCTGGTCTTTGCCACACACGTGTGACCTCATGTCTTCCAGTCTGGAAAAAGTCTCTGCGAGAAAAATGGAACGCGAAGCCGGTGTATGTGGTCGGGAACGCCACGGCTTCTCTGGGTGAGCAGTCTGGGTAAGGCAGAAGGAACACCAAGCCATGCCGTGGCGGTGCCCCCAACGTACACGCCTCACAGCCGAGCGCTCCGTGCTGGAGATGAAACGTATTTTAACAGACACTGCCTTCATAGCTGCTCACAGTGCGCACAGGCGTGTTTTGGGACAGACACCCTGTACACGGAGTCTTCATCCCTGTTCCTGCACAGAGCCCCCAAAACCTGATGTTTCCCGGTGGTAAGCATGAGGTAACAACCTCCTGCACCTCCACCCAGTTCACTCTGATGCGCTGGCTTCTGAAGGCCCTGATGCTGGGCAGGTGGTCGCCAGGGAGGCACAGCCAGGTGGGGCCGGTGATAGTCTGTGGTGGGAGCAGGGACTTTCAGCTCCTGCTCCAGGGCTAAGCGCAAGGCGTCCGTCCTGTGGGTGCCGGCGGGGGGCGCCAGCTGTGCTGTGCAGACTGTGTCCCCATTGAAGTTCTCAAGGTTCTGAGTGCACTGAGCCCGTCCCGACCCGCCGGAGGCCGGCGCCGCAGCACAGGCAGGGCCTGGCTCCGGGACAGTCACGGCGGCTGTGACTCCTGGGCTCACGCTGCTCGCGATGTACACGAAAGGCTGACTGACGTATTGACCTTAGCGGCTGCTCGGTATTCGCCAGGCTCCTGTGAGCACCTCCCTTCTCAGAGACGGTCCACATTCCTCCTGGCCCGCCCGGCCCAGCCTCCTCACCGTCCGCAGCGGGGTGACCAGTGCTCCGCCGGGACGGGCTGTAGCGACAGGAGGCTCACAAAAGTGGGGGGCACAGCCCTCCCCCTAAATCACCTGCAGGCCTGCCAGCTCATGGGCACCTCCCTCCCTCCGCCACCTCATTCCCGCCACAGCCCGCACCTTCCCGGAGGGGCTGGCCTGGCTCCCTCCCAGGAGGGGCCTCCACCGCCGCTGATCCCAAAGGCTCCCCTGGCCCAGACTCCGCCTCCGGAGCTTGCTGCCATCGCCGATTGCCCTCAGGCAGCCCCACCCGGCTGGCTCCCCGAGGGCCCACCTGGCTGTGTCTCCCCGATCCGGGCCTCCCTCCCAGGCGGCCGGGGACTGTGTCTGGGGAGCACACACCTGTGTCCGCACATTGAGGACAGCCCCGGCGCAGCGGGACTCACCGCCATTGAGACACACGGTGTCTGTTCGCAGTGAGTAAGCTGGGCCTGGACGCCGAAGGGGCGAGCAGCGGGAACGCGGAGCGGCTGGCGGAGTGGATCTGCTCCGGTGAGTGGAGGCTCCCACCTGGGCCTGATCTGCCCGCGGGGCGGGGGCGGGGGCGGCGGTTCCTCTCCGCAGTGTGAGCCCCTGGGCCCTTCTGTGCTGGAGCCCAGCCCGCCCGCTGCCCTGCCCCAGGGACAGGAGACCAAGCTCAGCGCAGAGCTAGAGCGTGAGGGGCTGGGGCTGGGGCTGGAGGGGGGGAGGGGCTGGGGCTGGGCTGAGGGGGGGGAGGGTGAGGGCTGGGCTGGGGCTGGAGGGGGGTGAGAGCTGGGGCTGGGGCTGGAGGGGGGTGAGGGTGGGGCCGGGCGTCCACAGCGCACAGGTGTGTCCGCAGGGGAGCCGCCCGCCCTGCCCCTGCTCTTTCCCTGTGGAGCCCTCCGGGGAGAAGCCCTGCCGCGGATGGTCAGGGACAGAGGTACCGGCTGCCCTCCCCCCCTCGGGGCGGGTCCGTCCGCCCACAGTGGGGCCTGGGGCCGGGAGGGCAGTGGCTCATCCTGGAGGCCAGCTGGGTGCCCGTGGGCTCCTGACTCGGGCCCCTCCTAGGGCAATAGCTCTGTTTCCGGTTTTGGTCGTGTCCAGGGATCCCCATGGAAAGCATCGTGGTCTACCAGAAGGTCCCCCACCCGGGAATCCAAAGGAACCTGGACAGCTACTACTCCGAGCAGGTGGGCGCCGCTCCGGGGAGCGTGGGCAGGCGGGCACCTGGTGAGGCAGGTGGGCGCTGTTCCTGGGAGCGTGGGCAGGCGGGCACCTGGTGAGGCAGGTGGGTGCCATTCCAGGGAGCGTGGGCAGGCGGGCACCTGGTGAGGCAGGTGGGGTCGCTTCTAGGGAGTGCGGGCAGGTGGGCACCCTGGGGAGGCAGCGGTGAGGCGGCGAGGCGAGGCGTGGCCCCTGTGTGGTTCCCTCCCGGCTGGCCGAGGCCTCGCAGGGGTTTCCTCCCGGTCCGGGAGCTGGGAACAGACCATCCGGTGGGTCCACGGGGCTAAAGGAGACAGACCTGGCCTGGAAGCCTGAGACAGCCTTGGAGCTGTCGGGGAGGGGCTGGGAGCCGGGTGGCTTGGCAGCCGGGGAGAGTGCGTGCGCCCTGCGAGGGGACGGACGTTTCCAGACTCAGCAGCGCCTTGCAGGTTCCAGACGCGGTTAGCTCCCTGGCGCAGGAGGCCCGGGCAGCCTGCTGTCTGCTTCGTTTCCGGGAGGGAGGGGGCTGTGGGCCGGTCGCAGGCTCCATGCTGCCTTGATGGGTGCGGGCACCCTTGGCCTGGAATTAGGCCTGGGCCACACAGGACCCGGAGCTGTGCCAGCCTCTCGATCGCACCCGCTCTCCAAACCGCCCCTCGTCTCAGCTCCTCTCCTTGGAGGAGCTGGGCCAGCACCCATGGGGGGCCCGGCCCGCCTGCTGGGGTCTGCCTGGCTGCCTGGGGCCTGCCTTGGGGTTGGGGTCCCTGGGGTCGAGCTGGGGGTGGGTCTCTCTCTCTCTCCCAATCTATCTCTCTCTCTCTCTCTCTCTCTCTCTCTCTCTCTCTCTCTCTCTCTTGGCACCACTCGAGTCACTGCTCTTGTTCTCCCATAGGGCATCCCGGCCAGCATCACGTTTTTCAGCCCCTCTGGCCTCACGTACAGCCTCGGGCACATTCGGGAGCTGTCTGGGAGCAGCATCGATCGGATCAAGGTGAGGCACTCCCTGCTCTTGGTCTTTCTCGGAGTTAAACTTCGTTTTACTAATTGTCCTGCGTTTCCACCGGAAGTGCAAGCTCTCCCGACCTGGGATGCCTGCAAGGCCCCGTGGACCCCCTGGGAGGCAGGGCTGTAGGACCCCAGCCCATCTCCGAGCCCAGCAGCGCCCCTTCCTGGCTGGGCGGTGGGACAGCTCACCAGCCTGAGCCCAGTTCCGCAATTGGCTCTGGTGTTAGCGTCCCATCCCCTCTTCCTTTTTTAAATTTTTTTAAAATGTATTTTATTGATTTTTCACAGAAAGGAAGGGAGAGAGATAGAGAGCTAGAAACTTCGATGAGAGAGAAACATCGACCAGCTGCCTCCTGCACACCCCCACCGGGGATGTGCCCATAACCAACATACATGCCCCTGACCGGAATCGAACCTGGGACCTTCCAGTCCGCAGACGACACTATCCACTGAGCCAAACCTGTTTCAGCCCCCTCTTCCTTCTAAACATCTGAGACGAGCTGGTCCTAGGCGCCCCTCCCCTCTCGTGTCTCCCAGTGAAAGGACGGCACCCGCTCCCGGACTAGCCGTCGGCTCTGCAGGTCCTCCACCTGGGGGCCAGCCGGGGTTGGGGGTGCTGGCCTGAGGCGGCTGGGGTGTGGCTGAGCTAGAGGACAGACGTCAGCATTGCTGGCCCCCCAGTGAGAATGGAGGCCTTTCCCCTCCAGCGCCCCTGTCCCCTCCAGCGCCCCTGTCCCCGTACACTCTGTTCTGAGTTCCCCTGACCCCGCCCAGGGCCTCCAGGCTTCAGGGCTGAGCCACCGGGTCCCCCTGCTGAGACCTCGTGCTGCCCAGCAGGACCCGCTGGGCTGATGGGACGCCAGGATGACACACAGGGGAAAGCACTGGGATGGTCTGTCGGGGAGTGCTGTCCCTTGTAAGCTCTCCCACGCCGAGAGGGTCCTACCAGACGGGATGGCCAGTGAGCCCTGCACACCTCGTCCGGGCGCTGCAGGTGCACTGAGCCCCTCTCTCTGCAGTTCGCAGCCATCGGCCCCACCACCGCGCGCGCCCTGGCCGCCCAGGGCCTGCCCGTGAGCTGCACCGCCGAGAGCCCCACGCCCAGAGCCCTGGCCGCGGGCATCCGGACGGCCCTCCAGCCCCACAGCTGCTGAGGACAGGGACTGCCTGCCAGGGGAGGGCATCCGCCCTCCACGCCCGCCCGGTGCCCAGTGAACCCCCTGGGCATAGCGATCCAGAGGGGACGTGGCAGCTGCAGGCCTGGCAGGCACTTCCCTCCACCAAGGCTACGGGGACCCTCACCCAGTGTGCCGGCTCGCCGTCAGAGCGCTCCCGCCAGCAGCAGGGAGAGACGCAGCGACTGGGGGCGGGCTGTGCACTGTTCCCAGGGCGAGGGGTGTTAGGACAGATATGCCCCAGTTCTGAAAACAACAGCCTGTGGAGTGGCACAGTCCGCTGTGTGTGACGTGGTTCTGTTCATCCCGTGGAGAGGACCCCTCTGTTTCCGGGGTCAGACAGTGGAAGTCAGACAGCCCTCCTTCAGAGGTGGACGCGCACTCAGCGCCCCCTGCTCCCCCTCCTCCCCTCCCCGCCTTCTTCCTCCACCTCCCCCTCCTCCCCCCCCTCCCCCGCCTTCTTCCTCCACCTCCCCTCCTCCCCTGGAGCCAGAGGGGGAGCTGGCCCAGCAGCGCTTTGGGCCGGGGACCTGAGAGGAGGCTCAGTCCGACAGGGTGGCAGGTGGCTCGCTGCTGCCGCCGTGGTGAACGTCAGCAATGGGAGCCCTGCTCCGGGTCAGCCTCCGCTCTGAGGTTTGTTCTAATCCAACCCCGGCCTGGGAAGGAGCCAGCTGGTGTGTGACAGGCCGGGTGCCCAGGGCTGGGCTCTTCCTGCCACCGGAGATGCGTGCTCTGTGGGGTTGGGGCATTGGGCGAGGACGGGGAGAAAGGGGAGCCTCGTCCTGATGGCCACCGGCGGGCACGTCCACAACTCAACTCGGTGAGAAGCCCCGTGAGCGCATCTCAGGGTGTCCACACAGAGCAGCAGCCGGGTGACCGGATCGCACCCGAGCTCCTGCCCCCTGCCCCGCCCCCGGGAAACTGAGCCAGAGCCGGTGTCCGCCCGCCTGCCTGAGCGCCTCAGGAGGGGAGGGCGCCCCTGCTGCCCGGAGCAGGGCAGGGCGGCGCCGCAGTGACCGGTGGGCCACGAGCAGCCGCTCTGGTCAGCGAGCAAACGCTCTGGCTCAGGGCGCTGCTCGGCCTGAGGTTCAGGTTTACCTGGTGGAAAGGGCTACCCGACTGGCAAAGCTGAGCTTCCGGTCACTGCCTGGCCCCGGTGAGTGTGGGCCTGTGCTCGGCGCCCGGGGACCGGACAGCACAGCTCCTGCCCGCGGGGCCCAACCACCTGGAAAGAACAGCCAGGAGGCAGCTGAGCTCGGTACAGACGTCTGTACTTCACAGTCAGCCCATGGGGACGGCACACAAGAGGCACGGAACACGGGGGGCACGGAACGTGGGGGACACGGCACACAAGAGGCACGGAACGTGGGGGACACGGCACACGGGGGGCACGGCACACGGGGGGCACGGAACGTGGGGGACACGGAACGTGGGGGACACGGCACACGGGGGGCACGGAACGTGGGGGACACGGCACACGGGGGGCACGGCACACGGGGGGCACGGCACACGGGGGCACGGCGCGCTCGGGGCTCCGTCCAGCGGGCTGGCAGCGCAGTGCGGGGCGGGAGCATCTCAGCACGGCCTTCACACCCAGCCGCCTGCCTCCGGGGCGGATGCTGCTGATCGTCATAGTTTCCTTCAGAGATTGGACAGACAGCTCAGTCAGGTTCACTCTGAAGCCCGTGGCGCTCAGCTCGGGCAGGGGCGTGGCTCCTGTGGCCCTCGGTCCGGCCAGGCTGTGAGGCCCAGGCAGCGGACAGCGCTGACCCTAGCCGCCGCCGGGAACCTCCCTGTGAGCTCACAGCCCAGCCCAGGGAAGCGGCCAGGATTCCGTGCTCACCTGCCTCGGCCTTTTGAAGATGTGTTTTTATTGACTTTGGAGAGGGATGGGGAGAGGGAGGAGGAGCTGATGCCCAACCATGGAGCAGCCTAGCCTCTGCCTTTTAAACTCCCCCCCTGTCCTGACCTTGTGGAGGGTGTGGCCCCAGGGGTCCTGTGTGAGGGGTTATTCCCACTTACCCCCGTCACTCACCTCAAGGTGCTGGCCAGCTTGCAGTAGACACAGAGGAAGCAGCACAGGAGGAAAAAGGAGGCGATCAATAAGGCACCACCGATGGCAATCATGACCTCCACGTCCACCTTGTCGACCAAGCCCTCAAACCCGAACATGGTTCTGGGCGGAGAAGTGCAGGGCGGTGACCGGGGGTCCCTCCCACCCAGCCAGGCACAGCTTGGGAGCGTCCTTCATGGAGGAGGCGTGACCCCGCCCGGAGGACGGGTCTCCCAGGGCGGCCGAGGGGCCCAGCCGCCCGGCCATGCGGGGTGGAGGGTTTGCTCGCGGAGGAAAAGGGACTGAAAGGCAAAGGCAAAGGAAGGAAACAGACGGAGGGAAGGGCTTTCTCTCCCTCTCGCAGGCAGTAACGTGCAGCTGGCGGTGAGTAACAAACAGGCCACATGGGAGCACGTGGTTTCACTCCCCAATCCTGAAATATGTTCCTTTTCAGAGTCAGAGGTGCTTCCCTGTACATCAGGCTTAAACATTTTCCGTGAGGATAAGCAAGGGAATATCTTTTTCCAAAATGCTACGCTGTGCACGCTGAGTATGGAAACCTACTTTGTAAATAATAGGTATCGTAGGAAAAACTTCCATTTTCCCGCTGGCACCTGTGTCATGCCACCTCAGTGTTAAAGGAGATTCTGGAGGCTTCCAGCCAAACCCTCCGCCAGGCTCAGGGACGGCAAGTGTCCTGCACGGACCAGGAGCCGGTTTCTCCAGGAGCCCTTGTCCCTCGCTGTATAAGGCACACAGCTTCCCCTGCCATTTTTCCTCCTGAATTCAACCAGTTTCCTCAAAACCCAACTCACCTGGGATCGCACTCTGGGTAATCAAACCCTCTGAGCCCGGAAGCCGGTCCGCGCAGAGGCGGGGCCGTGCCGGCGCGAAAGGCACCCCCTGGGACAAGCAGACCGCCCGGCTGCTCGGCACACGTCCCTGCGTCCAGCCGTCCGGACCCGCATGAGGCCAACGGCACGGGGCGGTGAGGAGGAGGACACGACACGTAGAGGAAGGGCCCTCGGCAGGAGCCACCTTCCCGCTGACGCCGGCGGGGACCTGGCAGCCGGACCGGCCCAGCCGCCGGCGGTGCTCAGACCTGACTCAGGAGCGGTCCTCGGCCGGAGCGCTCGGCGCCACAGGCACCATCTGTCTCTGCCAGACCCTCCGGACCCGGGCTGTGTGACATCAGCTCGGGAGCCACTCTCCGTCCAGGTTCTCAGTTCTGTTCCGCGGCAGAGTTCCAGCCTCCCCGCAGACAGGAAGTCTAGCCCAGCGGTTCCCCCCCTTCCTGACGCCGCGGCCCTTTAATCCGGCTCCTCATGCTGCGGTGACCCCCACCATAACATCATTGTCGTTGCCACTTCATCCCTGTCACTTTGCTTCTGGTATGAATCTGTGTTTCCCGATGACTCAGGCGGCCTCTGTGAGGGCGTCGTTTGACCTCCAAAGGGGTCACGGCCCACAGGTTGAGAACGGCTGATCTAGACACTGTTTTGAATAAGTCTTGCACCTTCCCAGGTGTCTGTTTCCCTGGAGAAAACACTTAGGGTTTGTTTTCTAATTAAAACAGTTTGAGATCTCAGTTTTAAAAAAGGAGAGTGAGCCCAGTTAGGTGGGGAAAGGAGCAATGCCCTCACACCGAGGACGCTGCTGTGTCAGCCACACCCCACAGTGAAACAGTGTGCAGCATCCACGTTCCCTTCACATTGATGCTCCTCTCTCCCCATTCCCGCTCTCCAAAACCAACAAAAATTAAAAATAAAAACAGCCCAGCAGGCGTGGCTCAGTGCTTCAGCGTCAACCTATGAACCAGGAGGACATGGTTCAATTCCAGGTCAGGGCACATGTCTGGGTTGCATGTTTGATCCCCAGTGAGGGGCATACAAGAGGCAGCCGATCCATGATCCTCTCATCACTGATGGTTTCTCTCTCTCCCTGAAAATCAATTACACACACACACACACACACACACACACACACACACACACATATACTAGAAGCCCAATGCATGAAAATTCGTGCACTCAGGGAGGGTGGTCCCTCAGCCCAGCCTGCACCCTCTCACAGTCCAGGTGCCCTTGGGGGATGTCCACCTGCCAGTTTAGGCCCGCTCCCCAGGGGATCCAGCTAAGCTGGCAGTCAGACATCCCTCTGGCAGCCTGGGTGCCCTGGTGGGATGCCCAGCTGACGGGCCTAAGCTGCAGTCGGACAGCCTCAGTGCTGCAGCAGGGGTGGGAGAGGCCGCCTCTGCTGCTGGACGCACAGCCGTCAGCCCGGCTTGGGGCTGAGTGGTGCTCCCCCTGTGGAAGCTGCCCCCTGGTGGTCAGTGTGCATCACAGCAACTGGTGGTTCCTGGTTGTTCCAGGTTAGGGTCAGTTTGCGTATTATCCTGTTATTATATAGGATTATTCTATAGGATTATATAGGATACCCATCTTCAGGTGAGGATTAAAAAAAAAATCCCAGAACCCATAGAAAGGACCCCATGTTGCCATTACCCAGGATGATACACCTGTCTTCATGAACACAGGAAGATGACCTGCTACTCCACTGAGCTTACATAGAATAAAACAGAACACGTGACTCACATACAACTGCACGCAGGTGCTTCTCTGCATGCACACATGCATCCACCTGAAGGATGTTCCCGAAACGCTGCCATCTGTGTCAGGGCGCCCTTCATTCTCAGTACTTTCAACACTCGCACCTCCCATGCTGAGGTGTTCCTTTCAGAAAGAGGAACAGAGCAGTAAGAAAAAGTTGGTAAACAAACTAAAACTTCCCTCCCTAAAAAGGACCCAAACTCGGGCTGCCAAGTCCACAGGGACCGGGTGTGGTGCCAGGTGGTCACTTTGTAAATTATGTGTCTGGCCACTGTGCTGTACACCGGAAACTAATAGAATATTGAATGTCAACTATA